TCCTCTGAACCTAAATCCAATGGCAAAATCAGAGATGGCATCAGGTTGAAAAGCAGAGCAGGTTCTGAATTCTCCCCAAATCCGAGCATATTCAGGTTTGAGTTGCGGATCCTGGCCCCCTACTTGCTACGTGCGGAGGTCCTCTTCAGGATAAAGCAACGAGCCTTTCTGACCACTGAATGCTAATTAGGTAATTTTTCTTGCATAACCGGTAGCATCAGAAAGTACATCCAAGGGTAATTAGTTCACCTGTCTGATTATAACAGAGATGAGTTTGGCTCCATTGAGAATCAGCGCTTTGAGGAGCTTTCTAACTGTCTGCTGAACCTTTGCCCTGCTTCAATTTATACAAGATGTCATGAAGAGAAGAGCTGGACAGAAAAACCCCAAGCCCTGTGTGCGGGCAGGGGCCATGTAAAGAAGCAGCGAGCAAAATCCTCCCATCTAACAAGAGACCGGCGTACCTGTGATCCTGCGCGGTGTACTTCAGTAGCTCTGCGAGCTGCAGGGGGTATTTGCAGATCTTCTGCACTGGCGTCAGAAGGAAACCGTCTATGGCAATATCAATCATCTGCTGCAATAGACGACACGCTTCGAAGAAATGCTGGTACCTGCTATCTTTCATCAGCTTGGAAAGCTCCATGCATGCGTCCAAATGATTGTTACAGTACTCCGAATAGATCCAGAAGCCGTCTTGCTGTGAGAGGCAGGAGAAAAGGGATGGGCACAGAGGGGAGCGCGTCAGACAAGTGCTGCGAGCAGTCAACCACCCGACTCGCCAACAAGAACACACTACGACTAAACAAGACAGAATACCCCAAGCAGGAGGAGGAAGGACTGATCCTAGGGTACTTTTCCTGCTTGGAGGTGCTGCATGGTTGCTCTGGGGGAAAAGGGAGGCAGAGGGACACCTGCATACTGACACACTGCTGAGGTCTCTCTAGGTACAGGGCGTGTTAAAGCGAACCCCTGAGCAGTGCTGTGGGTGTTCTCGGTTTCAAATTGTGCAGTGGAATTTTCTTTATAAAAGCTATAGGGAGAACCACACGCAGCTCTGGCCTTTAGTAATACAAGATGACAACCCTGTTGTTTCCCTAAAAGATCATGAAGCACCTGGCAAGTGTTTAGGAGCTGGGTATATTTGAAATTCCCTTTACCAACAGGGAATCCACAGCATCCACCACTGTGTGGACTTCCCCAGGACCAGAGAGCCAGAAAACAGCAAAGACTGGAAAAACAAACACAGGGAAAAAAACCCCACTCACACGTGTGCCCACCCACCATTTGCACTGGTCTAACAAGCTTTTTTGTGGTAATTTTATTGGGATCTCCCTTTTTCTGCCTTCACGGACCACAGATGGGGCCATGGCAGTTCATCACCCTTAACTCAGGCTTGATTCCTGTGGGCCACATGAACAAGGCAGACAAAAGGTCCAAGAAAGATTACACTGGAAGGGAGCGACAGACACAAACTGACTGCCCAGTATTAAGACTGTAGTGGAGACAGCCCAGATATAAGACCAGGTGTTGCAGGGCAACAGCCTGAGATGCTACGTCAGGTTGTGGCTGATGCCTTACAAATTACAGAAAGGACAGATTCCTTTTTTAAAAAATACACTTGACCAGCAATTCTTATTTCTCAGTCCCATAAGGGCCCAAATAACCCGCCTTTCTGGGAACAGAGGAGCCTGGTTCCTTTCCCATCCCCACAGCTGACCAAGAGCCAAGTGGTGACACCTCTCTTCCTGAAGCAGATGAGGAACAAGATGCTTTGCAATCCGTGTAATGTCCTTAATTCCCTGATCCTCAGTTTCCCCAAATGGCTAAACAGTGATAATTTATTAGGAGTTTAGTAGGCAGCTTTCAGTCCCTATCTGATGACAGATAAGTGTCAGATATTCCTCCAAAAAATGGTAGTAATTCTTAGTGTTGTCATTATAAATGAATTGACAGCACAGCCTCAAGACATGAAATTTTAGCTCCTGATTCTCACCAAGATTTCCTACATCTTTTTAGCACAGAGGTGGAATATGATGCTGCTTTGGAAGCAAGCAGCAGAGATTGCAGGCTCTGATAAAAATGAGCAATGTTAACACCACCATGCAACCTCTCAAAAAGAAACTTGCTTTTCAATTGGAAGACCAATGATGCTTAAGAGATGCTGTGAACCTTTTTAGGGATGCCCCGCTGAAGTTTCATGGATGTCTATCAGAAATTTCTCTAATAAGAAGTGAATTGTTGCCAGCTCAGCCCTGACTGTAAGTAATGAGGTAACACAGTACAGGATTTGCATCCCGGGTTGGAGCACCTCATACGTAAGCTTTGATACAGCGCTTCATTCTCCCTAAAGGAAAGCCTAGAACTGCAGCTCTATAATTTTCTTGACATTTCCTGACATATTTACAACACTGGCCAATTTATCAGCTCCTGTAGTACATGGCTTATGTAACAGTACGATGGGATGGGCAAAAGCCTCCAGGACTGTATCAGCTAAAATGTCCCGTTCAGTGTGCACCGAGCGTGAGCGAGTATCTGCTGCCCTGCTGCCACCCGGGCAGCAAGAGGCTCAAGCTGGCACCTCCCCAGCCAGCCCGACAGCTCTGCAACTGAAGGGAAGGCAACTGAAGCTGCCTGGGTTTTTCATCCTTTGCAAGGGCATGTCGGTGCCACAGCGAACAGCCCAATACTCTATCAATTGCCCTCCTCTACTTTTTTTGTGTAATGCACAACTAAGGCCTCTTTTTACTTCTCTGGACTCTCTTACCTCTTCCAACCTTTTGGTTATCCATGACCTGATTAGGATGGCCTGTGAGTGGGTTTAAGTCATATTCTGAAGAGCAAAAGAACATGGGGAGTAGGTGAGGGACATCGCACCTACATAACGTGATTAAGGGTGGATGTGAAAAGGTGTTGGGATTCAAAGGTACTGGAGGGTTATCCAACTATATGCTTCACTTCAAATTCTCCCTTCTCTATGCCTCACGAAGTAAATGGATGGCCACAGAGTAGTCCCTGATAGGTAACTAGAACAGTATTGATGCACAAAAGTTATTCCGAGGGGTTCCTGCCTTCTGACTTTTTCTGCTACCCCCCTGCTGCCCCCAAGCCCCCAAACCAATCCCAAAACTCCCAAACAAAAATGCCAAATTAACTTACGTGTTCAAGGAAACATGGTCCAATTTCACTGAGATGGGGGTCCTCGTTGTTGTACTGTTTTTCCAAGTCCCGGACAAAAGCCATCTGAAATCTGTAGATATCTTCAATGTTACCAAAGATGATCTTTAGCTGTTCATCACTGAACATATCCCTCCTCTTCCGGCACTGCTTTAAGTAACCCTGTAAGGAGTAAGAAAGAACAATCCATAAAATAACCCAAACGCTTATACTGAGGCTGCTCCCAGATTATTCTTGAAGAAGGGAGTAAGTAAAAAATCCACTTATTACGACATGACGGTCTCCATCAACTCCTGTTTATGAATAAGCATACAATACGCAAAACACGTCTTGAAACACTACGAGTCCTTGTTTTTGACAGACAACATCTCATCTGCAACTGTTGTTCCCACTGCAACCTACAGCAGACCCACAGCACCGCCCTTGCTAAGGACATGCCGGACCCAGTCTGCACAGGGCTTCACAGACTGCATCGGGAGGTGCTGGAGACAGCGTGTGTACAGTGCGCTGGGAGGACAGTGCTGGGTTCTGCCTCGACGTCCCTCGGGATTTTGCATGAAGCAGTTTTGCAAATGGAAAGTTCCCCAGGAATCTCAACCAGTAGAGCCTGAAATGGCTCTGTCCCTGCCCGTGCAGCAGAGAACAGCAGAATTTGTCTGATTGCCCCAAAGCGGTCTGTTACAGTATTATATGCCTGTTCCTTCAAAAATCACTGCCTTGCAATGTCCAGGGTAGCTCCTGCAAACCTTGCTGCTTCCATGTCCTCTTCAGTGGCGCATGGCATTACAGAGAAAGCTGTGAGCGGCTGTTTGATCTGAAATCAGGCCCACTCTGATTTCTCCTTTTAGCCATGGCAATCAGGACAAGGAAGCTGATAATCATGCTGAGAAATACTCTATTAATGTGTGGTTGCATGCCCTTGGCCTAGGAAGAGGGTATGGAGGACGTAGCCATCCTAACCGTTTCAGCACCAAGTGGAATGCTGAAGGAAAACACTCTTGAAGCATTCCCTGACTTGGAAGGCAACGTGGTTTATCCTCCCCATTATTCATGTTCCTGAGTCTGAAACAAAAGTGGGAGGACTGTTGTCCAGTGAGTGCAATAATAAAAAGATCCTCCTCGCTTATTCTGCGTCTGCCCGTGGTACCCGTTGGTACTGAGCCTGAGCCTAGCTGGACATCATACGAACACAAATCGGTAGGCAAGCACTGCTCTGAAGGCCTCCTGACCTAAAGACCGAGTGGGTCGATACTCTGGCAAAAAGCGTAACACATCGAGTTCTGTCTGCCTCCCTGTTTTGCTGACCCTGCCTTATCCATGAACTCGCCATCCCGGTTCCGGCTGCACCACAAGGACTTCTTCAAACACACTTGCCTGAAGCACATGTGGTCCAGGGGACGGGGTGACACATGGAGGCTCTGGAAGCCTGGGCTGAATTTCTGGCTCTGCCACCGACCTGTGTGACATTGAGCAAACCACGTCATCCCCGCCGTGCTTCGCCTGTCTGGACGATTTAAACTAGGAACTTCGCAAGGCCAAGTATCAGGTGCTACGCTGGCCTGGTCTGGACTGCAGCCTCTTGACTGAAAAGAAGTAACACGGGGGTCATTGTGCGATGACTTTGCCTGCCTTTATTATACCGGAAGAGGAAAAAAAAAGAAGGGAAAAAATGCCAACAGCTCCAGTTGAATGGCTATATTTGGGAACTCTAGCTGCTTAGTCACACAGACGAACCGCCAGCTGGTGACACACAGCTGCTGGTCCACAATGCGAACTATTGGAACGCTGTAATAAACTGCCCTTCAGCCTCACCATGTGGTTCCTGGGGGGAGAACTTCAAAGAGATGAATGATAAATGCAACTTTGGCCGACCTGGCAAAGAACCAACGTCTGCGATGTCCAGCTTAGCTAGAAGGACGCCATTACCCTGAATTTGCTGGCTTTTTCAGCTGGGAAGCGTGGGTTATGGAATACATTCTGCATTTACTAAATCTAGGTCTCTCTTCTTCCAGGAGCTCCTTGATGACTCATTTCTCTGGGTTTCCCTCTCTCATTTTTCAAGGCCAGGAGGAATGGGAGCAGGCTGATTCCCACGTCGCAAGAGAGTTGCAGGGCAAATAAAAATTCAAATTAGCAAGGAATAATGCAGAATATATTTCCATACTGCTTTTCATGTTTACTTGCTGATCTCAGAGCAGCTTTCAAAAAAAAAAAAAAAAAAAGAAAAGAAAAGAGATGTGCACCTGCCCACAAGGCCAGGCTCTTTTCGACACTGGCTTTGATGCTAGCAGCGCCGAACGACTGCCGCAAGCCGTTTGTGTTAGAACCTTTGCCCCGCTGCACGCTGCAGGCTGCCTGCAAGCCAGCCTCCCCTCTCGCCTACTGTTCTGTGAAATCAGTCACTGGGTGATTTACGTGAACATCTTTCAGCCCTGGGGTTGCTATTGGCTGCGACTACCGTCTTGAATATTCCCTGTCCTCCCTGCGCTGGTTCATCACTTTGCCCGAGTCACGTGTTTCACAGAAGCTGAAGCAGCACATTTCTGTACAGGCACCTAAAAAACCATGGGGAAAATAAAAGAACACATGGAGTTCCCAAGCGTTATCCTCTCTCCAGCTTGTGCGTTTGGATGGTTGGTTTCCAGCACAAGCCAGCAAAGGGGAGACTGAAGATTTATATATACTACACATATTATATATATAAAATATAGATATATATAAATATGCAGCAAGAGCCAGCTAGAAGGCTGCTGCATAGTTTTTCCAGTAAATTTACTTCTGTTACATAAAACAATGTCATCTTCCTTCTGCTCATCCCGTCAGGTTTGCTCAGAGAAGGGATAGCTGACTGATGAGCAGATGTTGGAGAGTGTTTTCCTCAATGAATACCTAAAAATAGCTGTCAGACTGTCTCTCTTTAAAGTACTTTTCCATGTAGTCCCTGAAGTATAGGTCAAAGTTGGAAAGCACTTGCGGGAGGTTAAGTGCTAAGTTTTCTCCACCCCAGAGTGGGTTCAGAGACAGCCAGGAGAAGTGGCCGATCCATCCATCCTCCTTCTTGTCCGGCTGAGAGCAAGGTGAAGGAGAGAATGAGGAGATGATAGCCACAGGCACGATAGCAGGCTATAACTTCAAAGGCAGTTGTGATGATACCCCAGTTTCTTTCCATCTCCGAGCCAGTTTGGGGCCTGTCTACACTGCCCAGTAGACCATCCCTCAGACCGGACCAGCACCATTTGGACTATAAAAACACCTTTCTCTAGAGCAGTGTTTATAGCACCCAGGTGAGCGTTGCGCTGATATGCACGTATCAAGAATAAGCCCAAGAACAAAGTTGAGACGTTTGAATTGAAAAGGCAAACTAGAGCCTTGTCTGGTCCCAGGCAGTCAGGACTCTCAAGCACTTACTCAATTACTGGTCCACAGCAAGCATTGAATGTCAGGCACTGTGATTGCACCGGGGCCCACCTAAAATATAAAATAAGGCCCTGCAGGAACACAAGCCTGTTCCTCAAATGGGCAAGAAGCAGCCAGCTCCAAACCAGAAGAAGGTGTGCACAAGCAGGCTGTGAAAGACAGCTACAAATTGCACATTGGGGAATACCTATATAGTGTATATATACTCCCATTGATGCAAAGAGCTTTCTTCAGAGTTGCCGTTCAGTCTGGTGCCCATGGATAAGAAACTGTTCACACAAAGGGGCCAGCAGCTCCTCAGATGTGGTCCTCTGAAGGAGGGACACATTGCTGCCAAGAAGGTTTTATGCTGCTTCGCTCTGAGGCAGTACAAAAAAAGTGGGTTTTATCCATCTCTGAGAATGAGTGAGGCTAACGCCATCCAGACCACGTGAAAAGTTGTCCCATCAGCCCTGCACAACAGACTCAGCTTGACACCCTAAGATGCAATGGGGATGTTTTCCACGCGGCACTCAGAGCTGCCCTGGCACCAAAGCAAAGCTTAGGTGGAATCCAGTCAATATCATTAAAAAATAAATCCAAAGGGAAATTACTTGGAAAACAGCAAAACGCAGCACTGGAAGTTGGCTGGCCTTTCTAACCTCCCACCCCCAAATTACTCATAATACGGAGGTTTCCTTTGATCTCCCACATGCCTCACTGTTCCTGTCCAAGCTCTGTCACTTCTCCCTCGAACACCTCTTTAAATTTAGCCTTGTTCTCCTAATCCATATGCTGGTCCAAATCCTGCTCATTTCTCAAAGCACGGCACCCTGCTTTTCGTAGCCTTCCTGCGTCTCATTCTTCCACCTGCGCTCCCGCTCCAGCCACCTTCCTGGCCCTCTGCTCTCACGGAGGCAGCCGTCGCGACCGAGCGCCTCGGCTGCTCTGCCACTGGTGCCACGTCACGGACAGACCCTGCGCCCTCCGGCATCCCCCCAGGACCAAACCCCAGGTGGAGGGGCGTATCTTGTCATGCCTGGAGGTGATCACGCATATATGTGGTGCTTTACAGGACAGCGAGTGAGCAGCACTGCCTGCCAGTCAAGCTGGCTACGGCTACCCGTTACAAAAGCCTAGTTTTCAGTAGCTTATTATTTTTCTAAACTCTAATCGCTAAGCCTGAAATTCCTATTGCTGGATATTTTCTTAAGGCTAAATTATTTTTTCTTTCTTTCTGGTGACATGTCAGAATAATGATCCATCCACTCCTAATAATGCAGGCCAGGGAAAACTCCACATTTTACCTGTAATAAAAATCTTCACAAAACGGTTTCACCAAGCAGCAGCCAGTCCTTTATACTCTAAGCAAGGGCACAACAGCAGCAGTCATCAGGGCAGTATGGCTTTGCCGTGACGAGGAATTCCCCTCCAAGCCAGATGCTTCACGCAGGTCTTGGCTTGCGCAGGTAATTTTCATTCTGGTGCTGGCCAGCTTGTGAGCTCCTGACTTGGCAGGACTAGTGCCATGGGTATTATGAATAATAACATGGTGTATAATAACATAGTAGCAGGTAATAGAAATACATCCTGAAGCAGAAAAAGAGCAATTGGAGGGCTCTTAATCACCTAGCAGGGGCTACGGTCCTCTGATAACAACCCACCTGTTAAGGTGCCTCGCTGGTATTAGGATTTGTTATTTATTATAGCTCAGCAACAAGAGTATAACTACACACTGCTAAACTCAGTACTAAATCAGGTTCAGCCTTTGCCACCCAGCCAGGCCTCCTCCTTCATCCCCTCCAATACCTCATATCGCTGCCGTTTGTCCTGACACCGTAAAAGAAAGAGCAAAGGGAAAAGGGGAATTTGCCACTGTCAACAGCACTTCTGCACCTCATCAGCAGTTGTCTGGTGTCTACTCGTTCTTCGGCACAAATAACGCCTCTGTACAAATTCATCCAGTCGCGCTGGGAGCAGCTCAAGCCGGCCCGCGTCTCTCCATCTCCAGCCCCGCTCCTCTCATGCGCAAACAGAAACAGTCACGTCATGCTATGCCGAAACGCCTGGGATGACTGAGCTGTCTCCAAGCCTTCTCGAGGCAAATGGATTGCTCTGATTAAACTGAGCACAACGAGGCTCTCCCCAGCAAGGGGCAGCCCATCATTTTGCAGATAAGAATGCCATTTCAGTTCTCCTCCTTCTTTAAGAGGGGCAGCTGAATCACTTCCTGGTGCTCTACCTGGATTTATCCCCTCAATACCATTTTGCATCATACAGAGCAAGGCAAGAGCCTTCGAGATCTCTCTCATATCCAGCACATATCATTAGGTGCTGTAAATGAGCACTACCCCACAGATTTCACTGAAGCTATACCTATCTGTACCCTCCTGAGAATCTGATTTGGCAAAAGCATGGTGACATGGTTGAGAAATGCAAGTTAAGGTTTATTTAGTTTTTCAACAGAAAAGTACAAATGCAGAAGAAACAATATGTGGAAAAGTTCCTGCAGTTCTTCCCTTCTTCAATGCAAAGCCCTCTGACTGAAATAGCACAGCGAAATTAAGCTCATTTGTTTCCAAATTGAAATCCCAAGACTCTTCCATGTTTAAAAAGTGTCATAGATGCTTTTTGGATGGCTGTTTTGCCTTGTCAATAGAGAAGTAGCAAGTATGAGGGGAGGAAGACATTCTTCTAAGCAGAATTCACAAGGGGCTTCAGCACATTGACTCTGCAAAGACTGGGCACAGGCTCGCGAAATCCTAAACACTCAGAGGGATGAACTGAAAGCCACAGACTTTGATTTTAGTGCTAACAAACTTCTGCCTCTTAGCGACAAGTATATGCTCTACACACATCGCCCAAGCTGTCCTGCAACACTCTCCGGCGCAGCTATGCATTCTCCTTTCCAGACACCCAGTACCGCACGCACTGCACTTCGGGCTTCGCTTGTGGCACTAATTCTGTACGCTGCAGGGCAGTAAGGGGTTGTAGGGGTTAACTGTAACATAAAACAAACCAAGTTGAGGATGTCAGGGGTCAGTCACCAAAGTTCATTTGCTCGCCAGTTCCCTTACACTGGATAAACGTTAACACATTTCATTTCCCATGGTGAAAACACTTTGCTCTCAGTCTTACCATAGGAAAAGGCAAATGAGGGCCATCCTGAGCCAGGGGAAATTGTGAACCCAATGTAAAAGACACAGATGAAATGGGTAACTGATTGGTTTAATTACAACCTAATTTCCTCAATCACAAGTTCAAAAGTAGATGGCATTGGGTTTTAATTAAGAGGACTGCTTGAAGGATCTCAACCTCATCATTTTTTAGTCAGAGGTATGGGAAAAAGCTCAGAAAAATTGTACTTTTAGTTAATACAAACTAAAGGTAATTATCAGATCCCGCAGAAGATTCTCAGAAGTATCAATACTTATTGACAGATGCTGCTCCTCTATTAGACCAGTACTCAAAACACACAGCATCTTTTTCCCCCATCACCCAAGAACAAACCCAGTCCTGAGCTCTTCACAGCCCATCGCATGTCCTGCGGCAGTACCCCACCGTCACAACCTCCATGTACCTCGCAAATGTCCTTGAGGTGCTTGATGTAGTGGCGCTCCGTGCTCATGATTTCATTGATGACGTTGGCTCTCATCTGGTCTCGGTTCTGAACGGTCCTGCCGAGACAGAGGCAGTCGGCGCTTGGATCCAAATGGCCATTCTGCACATCGCTGGTTCCCTCCTCCACTCCATCTTCTTGGTTTACCCATAGCTGCGAGGACAAGAGGGAAGAGCAACAGGTTTATTCAGGAACACATCAGGAAGCCGACGAGTGAACCAGAATGGTTCCCCGCACACTGCCGAGCTCCTCTCCTAAGCAAAGGGATTTCAAGTGTTGACAGTTTCGATCCCAAATATAAAATAATCACGTGAAAGGGTACCTGGACTGTTGGATGCTGTCAAGTGCTCTGAACCAAGATGTAAATACATAAACCAGACCAACCTAAAGAAAACTGCAGTTACTAGTGTGAAGCACTGCTCGTCCCAGTTCCCGCACACCATCAGCTGGGGTCTGTCCCAACAGGAAGAAACCTCTGGGAGGAGAGATAAGCCCTTTACAGGTGACTGATTTAGGAAAGTCAAGATACATCTGGTTCAGAAGCCTGAATGAATGTGAACATCAGCCCAGTTGGCGCTGAGTTTTCCGCTGAGTTTTCCCTAAACTTTCCAGGCCAGGATTTGTGAATGAGCATTGATTTTCATTTCACAGGAGCTTTCCTCATCATTTCACATGAAGAGCCTTTCTCGCTCCGGCAAATGCCCTATCTCAGCATCCTAAGATCGTGATCCCTAAACCGCACTGAGATCAGACCGGCTGAATAAGTCTCCTAAAACCTGGGGGGGCTGAGGGCAGCTTTGGACGGGGTACCAAGCAGCCCTGAGCATTGAATACTCTAAATTGGAACAAATTGCAAAAAGCAATGAAAAAGGATCGCTGCATTTTCAGCACACTGAATTTTCCTTCCACCATCAAATAAAAAACATACATTGACCTCGCAAACGAAAAGATAACGCTGCCTCCTGTCTCCGTGTCCCTGAACAAGGCTGTGCTCTGCACGCGACATACGGATCAAGTGCCTTCTTTTGCTACCTTTTTCCCATAATAAAACCTGCTTAAAATAGCTATAATCGACTCAAATTGGGCTCAGCCTAGTTTGTAAATTAACATTAAATAAAGCTTGAACCAGACAGAAATACTGCTATCGTACACAGATCACCTAAGTTGTTACGTAAATGAAGCAACTTTTCTCCTCAGCATTTAAAGCCCCAGATACTGGAGACTTTCAAACATAAAAATACATCTACCTATAAACAGTAAAGCTGTCCACACAAACAGCGTGGCGTATGGAAAACAAACTGCATCGTTAACCTGATCTTTCAGTCGTCTTTTCAGTGTTAATCGTTTTAAATACTTTCCCATTATTTAGCTTAAGTTCAGTTTTAAACAGATTTTATAGGGCTGAGTTCCTGTAAATTAGTAAAGTAAAAAACCTAAACCTGCCCATGCTCTTTCTCTGCTTTCCTAACCAATACTGTGTTTTGCTAAACCACTTCTTACAGCTCCCACGTTTTGTCATCCTACAGCAAGTTATAAAGGCCAAGAAGCCAAGATTTTTCAAGAAAACCCATCTCTTCTCTAGCAGAATGACGCTGCAAACTTAGGGGATTAAAAAAGCCGCAAAGCAATAAAAAGATGGACTTTTCACCCTGCCCACGACTGCGCCCTGTGTCCGGGACCTAGCAGGGACTTCAGAGGACAGCGTGTGGGGCAGCAATGGCTGTTTAAATGACAAGACAAGTCAAAGTCCTCTTTGCCGGCAGTGGGGCAGGACCCACAGGGGACATCGACCCCATGCTGAGCGTTGCAGAGAGCTGCTGACCCCAGGCTGTGCTCACGCCGTGTCCCGGCAGCGCCAGGCACCCTTCCGGGCAGGAAACCCGGTGCAGACCGTTCGCCTGGAAGAGCGAGGGGCAGAGCCAGGATGGACCCGGGCGTCCTGCCTGCTCTGCCCACGCCATCTCCTGCCTGTGCCCGACCCCGCGTTGCCAACATGGGGCCTCCTTTTGCGCATCAGGAGACCAGAGCGACGCGCCAAAGCCTGCCAAGGAGGTGAAATAACCCCTCCTGCCACCTCAGCGCTGCTCCCGTTACACGAAGGAGCCAAACTCGAAGCACAAAGGCTTCGTAACCTTTCCCCAAGACAGCGCAGCCGGGAGTCAATTTAACGTCTTAGGTGACAGAGCAGAAGTGAAACCCGGCGAATGCGGCTGTCGGCTCTCGTTCCTTACGTCGTGATGCGCTCCAGGGGCAAGGGGTGCGGCCGCGCGGTCCTGCGGCACTGGCAGCACCCAGGGCGGCTCGGCTGCGGTCAAAGCAGGGCTGGTCCTCAGGACGAGCAGCCCTGGGTGCTGCAGCACTGACCCCAGCCAGGTCCAGCTATGCCAGTTCGGACAACAATTTGTTTCATTTAAAAAATAAAGCAGGAAAGAGCTAATCATAGTAATGGAGGGTGAGGGCAAGCCTGAAAGCATGAATCCTAGAAGAGTTTTGAAACTCTAAGGCAAACAGCAAGCTTGCGAACTTTCATGATTTCTGAAAACCTCAGAATTTGGTCTGCCTTTTGTGCGCTGCAGGAACACTCCCTACTTCCACATCTGGGAATCTCAGGAGTCCTGCTTTATTCCTTAATGAAATTTTTGCTCCTTCCTGCAGCATTCATGTTCCCAAAAGGAAAAAAATTACAGTTCTAGTCTAGATGACTTCTGCTTTAGATTAAAAACAAATACAACAACTTTATCGGTAACAGAGGAAGCCGAATGGGCCTTCCACCCCGTGCTCTCCAGCCTCAACTGCTGAAAGGACTAATCCCACTGCGCCGTTCAAACACTCCTGCTTTCTGCCTTAAACTCTAAATTTCTCCGTAATTCAAGCGAGGATCATTCTTCCAGGGATCTTTTGAAGTTTGGACCATGACTTACAAAAGATGAGGTACCTTGGCAGCTCTGCTGCTGACCTTGGGCCAACCACTTAAACTGGTGGAGGCTTTCCCCATCTACAAAAAGGGATAATCTACCTTACCAATGCGATTTTTCATGAATATTTTTGAGGTTGACAGATGTTGAAACGGAGGGCACGGAAAAGCTCGTACATACTTCGAAATATAGGCTTAAATGCATCACTGAGGGCTGACCACACTCTTGTACTCATCTGTGAGCAACAATCGGGCTAGACGGACCTTTGGTCTGATGCAGCATGGCTGGTTTTGTAACTTCAGCTCTCAAACCCTCTTGGGCTGTGCCTGCTGCGCCGGCGCAAGGGAAGGTCGCACCGAAAGCGTTAATTGTGTCCTCTGACCCAACACCCCCCCAAGCCAGCTCCTCTCCGCTTCACTGACCTGCTCGCTCAAACCGCGAGGATGCCGTGCTGCAGGCAACCGTAAGGTGGAAGAGGCAAACTGGGAGGGGCACTGTTTTTTCCCCAGTAACTTATTAAATGTCATATTTAGTCGATTTAGACAATGCTGCAAAGGTTCCTAGTTTAGCCCAGGCCACAGTCGCCTGTAAGTAGGGTGCTCGCTACGTTTTAGACACACACGATTCTCTCAAAAATGCTCTCCTGCCCGAAATGCCTGACCTCGGATAACAGCTGAGACGCCACTAACGGAAAAAGGGCTCCCCCTTCCCCAGCTTCTCCAACATGCACTGGACACAAGTGCACAGACGTACCTCCCTCTCAGTGCAAATACCTCTTTTTTTACAAAAGAAACGTCAAAACTCTAGTTTTCTCCCAGTTTCACCTCATCTCCCCAATCTTCCCTGCTCAGGAGGTGGCTACCAGCCCTGTGAAGCTCCCGTGGGGCTCCTCACCGAGCAGAGATGGGACTGGGGTTCCCTGGCAGTCCGTCAGCTCTGCTGCTCACTTGGGTTTCAAGAAGTGTCTCTAAGGTCCTGTCCTGTCCTCCTCAGCAACTCGGGGCTGTGGCTTGGCACCGACGGCGGTCTGGGATACCAGCCTGAACTACTGCATCCAATCCCACTTTTTTTTTTTTTTAAGAGTAAATGATAACAGCTGTTCAGCAATCAACAACCCTACAATAATAAATCAGCCTTCAGTGCCTTTTTAAACACCTCTAGAATGCAAAAAAGCGTGGGCTCTGAAATAATACGGCACTGTGTGCGTCTCGCCCACACCATTAAAAAGGTCCAGCATGCCAAACAAGGATGCCTGCCTTAAGAACTATTTCAAATGCTTTATATTAGAGAATTAATTAAAAGAAGCCAAGAAAAACTATAGGAAGAAAAAATGCAAGTTACATAATTCTAGACCTAAGTCACACTGAAAGGCCACCCTACATGTGGAGAAGAACAGGCTTATCATGAGGCTCATAGTCCTTCTTGAAAATTCAACCCTAATTAGAAAGTCATGACCAGCTCCTGCAGAACATAATAATTTGCAGAGGCAGATAGAAGTAAAACAGTCAAATAAAAAAAGCCCCTTTTGCCTAAAGACCCAGTTCTGGGAGCCAGAGCATGCCGATCATTTCGTTGTGCTAGTTAATATTATATGTGATTTATATAAAATCTGTAGAAATGCGATGTATCAATTTGCAGCTATACCCAAATGGCACATAAAATCACCAAATGGCACCGTTCCAACATTAGCTGACCTGTAATTATTATATATTTAGACTGCTGAATGCATACACTGTATAGAGAGGGCATTTTACTTGAATAGGCACTGAGGGCCGATAGTCTCATAATAACCAGAAAGCAGGATAAAACAAACATTTTACCAGCCATCTGGATTATTAATCTCCTTCCACTGGATATTCACAAGGACAAAACTAGCAGATAATGTGCCATCCTGGATTCTAGCTCACAATTAAATAATGTGGCAGACTAACGATACAGGCAGATCCTTCCAGAGAGCTGTTGCCATTCCACTGAATCTCTGCTCACCAGTGACTTTACAACAAATACCAGCGTGCGCAGCCCGACCTTCACCAAGATCCGGTACCCGACGGTGGTATCGCAGCGTCACTAGCCCTGCAACAACTGCAAGGGAGCGTAGGAGACTCCAACAACCCCACAGAAATCAGCTGCAGCACAGAGCCTCGGGACTATTTTACCCACCTCGCCACGCTGCCCCGCTCAGCAGAGCTGCTCCGTGAGCCGCCGGGTTTGCCCCCTCTCCCTTCTTCTGTAAGCTGG